AAGACTAAATATTTGCTTTCATTAGAAGCACGAAAGCACCACAGGGATATTTACAAACATTCCCAGCCCCAGCTAGATCTGCACTAGATCTGTTCTGAGCTTACTTCTTGGCACATTCCACGATCTCCTCGGGAGCCACGAACAGCTTCTGCACGGTTCTCTTGGCCACGCCGCGCTCCTTCACCAGCTGCTGGATGCCCTGGATGATGTGCTGGGTGTGCTTCACCCCCACCTTGATGGCGTGGCAGAAGTCCTGCTGCAAGATGTTCTCAGCCGTTGCTTCCAGCATAACTACCAAAGGAAAGGTAAAACTGCAGTAATTTGCTGGTTTGTGGTTTGAGAGCAGCTTAGCTCGACTAAGGAAATACAGATTAACACCAAACTGCGTGAATTTGGTTATTTCTGTCGTGCCAAAACACAAGTTTCAAGCATTAGGAATATTTGGGGAGGCACCTGTTGCTTTGAAGAGGCACCTATTTGATTTTGAAGCCCTCAGTGGATCAAAATGAACCCAACACTTACCAACTTGACTCTGTGGAGCTCCAGCGACAACTAAATTTAAAGCACTGGCAGACATCTGCTTTCGAGTGGGGTTGATAACAGTCTCCCCATCCACCAGCCCCACCCTCACTGCACCTACAAGGGAAAACCCCAGGAAATTATTGTTATAATAAGGAAGTTCCCTGAGGCATCATCTTACTTGGAAATTTATGATTAAAGGTGTACATTAATTTTAAAATATCAGCATATTTAAAATATCAGTTGAGTGTATATTAAGAACAACTGTGGAAGACAAAATTATCTGGTTTTGAATTACTTTTGGGTATTATTTCTGGGTGAAGACAATGCCAAGTATTATACACACAATGCTGTGAGTCTACTGGGAGTTTTTTAGTCATTTCAGCACATGTTTTCTAGAAAGAAAAAAAAAGGCAGGTGACAGGAAAATACAGCTAAATATTTGTTCTTGGCTGGGTCATTTCTTTTCCAAAAAAATATGCATAACTAAACAATTCTCTTCTTGAGTTCCTGGAGAAAAAATATTCTTATCCAGCTATTTTCAAAACAATGCTTTTCAAGACTAAGCTACTATTAAGAAAAAAAATAATTTACTGGTCTCTGTACTCCACTATTTCTGCATTATAAACCTTTCCAAAAATGTATTTAGTCCAGGAAAAATAATCCTTTGAAGTGCAATAATCCTATCCATTGTAAAATTATTTTCAGTGCTTGAAATTCAACATTTAGATTCAGCTTCTCATTAAAAAAAACTAAAGCAGGAACTGTGGTCTAGGTCTCTCATAACACTCAAATCATCCCTAATTTCAAAGTATTCACTTACCAATAGGACCATTCCAGGGGATATCAGACAGTGCAAGTGCTGCAGAAGCTAAAATGAGACATAAAAATGTGGATTAGGAAAAGTGGATCCCGTGAAATCCCCCCCAAGCAGTGATTCCTCCCAGCCCTCTTACCTCCATTAATGGCCAGAATATCAGGATCATTGACACCATCTACTGCTAAAAGATTACAAAGGATCTGGCATAAGATAAAAGACAATGAATAATTGTGACCTACACATTTTTTTATGAGCTGTCAACACAAAGCTAAGGACAGTAAAACAGAACATTCCACATATCCACACAAGCCCAGACTGCAAATGGAAATTTGTGCAGGTTTTTAAAGCAGAAAGCTGACAAAACACCCACTAACATATAATATTGTGCCATATATAAAACATCTACCCCTGGCCTTTCTTGCCTCTGTTTTACAGAGGAGATTTCAATTGTTTTCTTCTATCTGGACAACAAAATTTGGAAAATAGGATGTGACAAAAATCCTTTAATGACAAAATAAAAAAGCAGCATTACACTATGAGAATGGTTTGCCAAGTGTAAACCCTTCCTGGATATTAACCAAAATCATTTTTCTTAAAGCAGTGCCTGTGTCATGTGAAATTTTCATTGTCCATGCCCCAGCTCTCCACTTTGGAGGTAACATGACCCACCTGTGTATCATAAAAGTATCCTCCTGGGAAGAGAGGTCTGATTGACCGATCTGCAGAAGAAATAACCAAAGTCTAAGAAGCAGCTGGTTTCCAGTAGTGAATATTCAATTTGTCTTGCAATAACCCCACAATAAACTGACCAAATTATTTAAATGAAACACCCCAAAAAAAAGGCAGAGAACCCAGAAAGAAATTTAGCATGATGAATACAACCCTAAAATTCCAATGAGGACTCATAAACAAGCAACTACAGCTTTATTTCCTGACATTACCACAGAAAACCAACTCTGCAAACAGCAGTTCTAAACCACTGCATTTCCAAACACTCGTGAGAACATCTCAAAATGTTTAAAATACATTGTGACTGAAAGGTTTCAGCCTACCTATGACTCTGCTTGTAAGAATTTCTTTATCTGTGGAGCCGAGCTCCCTTCTCAGGTAGTTTGTTGGGATTCTTCCTGCTGCAGCAGCTTTCTGTCGATAGTCAACCTTGGAAAAACAAAACACATCCCTACAGACAACTGATACTCACTGCAGAGCCACCCAAGCACTCAGAAGAGACACCTTATATATAATTTATAACACAATTATATTTTATATATATTTTATAATCCAATCCCTTGCTCAGAGCAATTCGACCCAGAATTCAGGTGACATGTATGAAACAGGCTCTGTTCCAGGGTAGATCCCTGAAGGACCCACTGTTCCCTCCCTGAAGGTGGAATATCAATCATGGAATCACAGAATGGTTTGAGCTGGAAAGAACCTTAAGGATCATCCAGTTCCATCCCCAACCCCGTAGTTCCAATCCTTAATAATCACAAGCCTTTTGAGCCTCCTAAACCAACTAAAACAGAATATCTGGGCTTGGATGTCGTGGCAAAGGTCACGAGGTCAAGGCACACAAGCTCCAGGGCTCATCCCCCATCCACAGAGAATGATCCTACACATCCAGACATTTTACCATGAACTCCAGGGTCTGTCATTGCAGTGCATTCCTCACTCCCCCCAGCGCCCTGAACTCCTCCATTTAAGGATTCTGCTGCTAAATCTTCCACAAATGATCACAAACCTAATGTTTTGGTAAGTACTTACCACTAATGGCATAAACTGAGATGGAGCAGGCTTGGTTTTGCTGACTGCTGTGACCATCACTGCTGTGTCACCCAGCTGGGTTGAACAAAAAAAAGATAAAAACCCTGAAGTTACGTGCAAATAAAATAACCCCTGATGTTCTAAACTTATTCACAAACTAAATTATGAAAAACAATTATTCTTTGCAGGACACAACCCCATAAATCCACCCTTCATGCCAATATTTTTGCTTTTCAAACATAATTTTTTCCTATAAAAAACAACTGTCTTTTCATTAGGGATTAAGTTGCTCCTTGAGTCTCTGTATCCCACTCTAACAGGCTCTGATACCCTAACAATGACTTTTAAGATGCAGAAATTTTGAAGTTGCATGACTTTTCACTACTTATTTTTTCTTACCTGAACAACAGCACAACCATCAGCAAACTTGGCAAGTTTTCCAGAAGACAGCTCCATCTTTCTGAAAGACATGACCTGTTACTCATGGTGAATTCAACCAAATTTTCCAGCAATTCTGCTTTAATCTCCAGCCCCAACTGCACAGAACAAAGGTTACACTTCACACAAGACAAACATCCACCTCAAGTACAGAAATCAAAATTCTTTGGCCAAAAGTGACCAAATCCTCTTAACTTGAACGAGCTTTTGCCTCAAGTGTCCTGCTCCTTTCACCTTGAAGCAAAGCCTTGCAGCCACATTGGGTGTCACCTGGAGTTCCAGCCATTCCCTGGAGACAGAAGTGAATCACCACTGTTCCAGCTGGGATTTATCCAGTGGGAAACACCCTCACAGGCACAGTGGAGCTGTCTGCAAATCCAGAGCACCATTTCCCACCACAGCAGCCTCTCTCCATGTTTCCTGCAGGCTCCCTCCAGGCACTGAAAAGCCACAATTAGGTCACCCCAAAGCTTATCCTCTCCAGGCTGAACAATCCCAGCTCTCCCAGCAGAGCTGCTCCATCCCTCTGATCATCTTAGTGCCTCCTCTGGACTCGCTCCAGCAGCTCCATGTCCTTCCTGTGCTGTTCCCCAGGGCTGGAAGCAGCTCTGCAAGGGGGGGGGGGTGTCACCTGAGGGGTCAGAGGGGCAGAATCCCTCCCTGCCCCGCTGTGGGATCAGCCCAGGATTGCCTTTCTGGGCTGCCAGGACACACTGCGGGGTCCTGCCCAGCCCCTCATCCCCCAGGATGAGCTCACAGGATTACAGAGTCAATCAGGATGGAAAACACCTCTGAGATCACTCAGTCTAACCTAATAAGTGGACCTTGAGTTATTTTGCCAAGGTGGCAAGGTACCCACAGACACCCATCAGCATCTCGATTCACTGCATCCTCGGGGCTCGTTATTCCCGGATGTCCCTAAGGGATGGCCAGGATGATTCCACCGATTGAGGCTCATTCTCTGTGTGTTTTCGAGCCTATCAGCAAAGATCGCCATCAAAGAACATTCCTAGCTAAACTAATCTCGACATACTCCGCATTTCGCACCCGTTTCCCCTCACGTTTGCCTTCTCTCCCCCCGGGACAGCCCCTGCACCGCCCCCTCCCCTCAGGGCCCCTCACCTGCCGCCCACCTCCACCGTCACGGCCTGGCACTGCCCGGGCCCCGCCGCGGCATTTCGGGCGGGCACCCAGCGCAGCGCGGAGCGGCCCGGGAGTAGCGGCAGCCGCAGCGCGGAGCCTCCCGCGGGCAGGGCAGGCAGGACCCTTCGCCATCGCGCCGCGGCCCCGCCGCCATCGCGGCCCAGCGCGCCCAGCGCGGCGCGGCCGCAGCTCGTGGCGGCCGCCATTGCGCCCGCGGCTGGAAGGGGCGGCCACGCGATTGGCTGCGGGCAGCGGCCCCGCGCAGTAAGATCGGAGCCCATTGGCTCCGCCGCTCCCGCGCCGCTTTCCGTTCCGTACGGGCGCTACGGCGGGTGAGGGGGGTCAGGCGGCGCAGAGCGCGCGAAGGCGGGAACATCGCAACCCTCGACAACCCTTGAATTCTGAGGTAAAAAGTGTCAGGAAAAGGTTCAAGCCGGCGCCTGAGGCGGCTTTGGAGACAATTCGGGATGAAATCTGGGGGAAAACCTGCCCAAACGGGGCTCGGAGCGAGACAGAGGACACCTGCACCGAGTGCCCCCTTTTCCCGCCAATGGCACCTCAGGAACCAAGATGGCGCCTGGGAGAGTAGTCAGCGTTACCGCCAAAAATTCGCGGCCCTTCCTGAGGGGAAAAATACATGTGTTTGAAATTCCTTTGCCCCAAAGACCTTTTTCTGTGCCTGTTGTGTTCAGACCTGTAATTCACTCACAAAAAAAAAAAAAAAAGGCGCCAAAAAACTCCAACCCAACCAACCAACCACAACAAAAAAACCCCCAAACATTAAAAAACCCCAAATCCTCACCACACACACACAGAAAAACTCTCAAAAAACAAAAGACCCCCATACATTTAAAAATAAAGAATTGTGATTAACCCCTCTGAATTCTTAAAGTGACTCACCTTACAGTTGTATTAGTTATAGATCCCAGAGCACAGTCTGGAAATGGGAGTGTGGCAACAGCATCCAGAGATGCCAAATCCAAGATCAGGCTCCTGTCCAGCAGCTGAAGAGGCTCCTCCTTCAGACCATTCCTCAGTTTCCTCCTCGGTAAGGCAAGAACAGGAATTTTTAAAACAGGAACACCAAAGTATTTTCCTAAGTGCACAAGGAGGGCTAAGACAGTTGACAACCCTCATCACGGACTTGTGCTGTTACATGCTCAGAGAGCACCAGAATGTCACTCAGGGGTCAGTGGTTCTTTCATTAATTATTCCTCAGTGGAATGCAAAATAAATTAGTAATTAGCATTATTTATGTTATTTATGTGGAGATCTGATCACAGAAACAGTAAGATAGATCCATGTGGGATTAAATTAACATTAATTGTCACACATCACTTTAAACTCATCTGCCATCTGGAGTTAAAGATTTGAATTTTGACAAATATTTAATAAAAAACCCCCTTAATTACTTACTACTCTTTTATTTCAAATGCTATTTTGATATTGCTTCTCGTCTCACTAATCTTTTCTATTTACTTAACTGAATTTTTCTCTTAAAGTTGCATTTATAGGAAACAGATTCACTGGCTGGTAGAACAGTCCAAGCAATGATTTTTCTTTTGTGCCAACATGTTTCTTATCTTTTTGGCAGGACACAAAATAGAGAGATAAAACAATCAGAAACTTGGGATTTGTCTTGGGCATAAGGGCTGTTAACTTTGTCCACATTCAGAATTCATTGGTACAGTTTTATTGGGTACAAAAATATATTGAGTGGCAAAGCAAGAATGTTCCCAGAGTTTTCCCAAATTCACATTCACTTTACTGCTGACAAACAGATGACTGCTTGGAAAGTTTTTATGTCATTATTACTCATTAAAATTGCTCTTCTCTAGCTCGTGGCAAATTTTACTGGCACTTTGTCTCAATAATTTATATATGTAAAAGTGAC